AATGAGACTTTGTTGAGCTGGACTGAAAGGAACTGGACTAAAGGACTTCCTACACTCAGACTCAGGCTGAATGAGCGGCTTTGTGCCCGAGAGACAGACCCACAAACTGTTCTTTGAATTGTTTTGCAGTTGGGGCCGGACTGATGCACAAGCGACACTATGTCAACTCATAAAGCCTGATTGATAAAGGAGAGAGAGGCGTCAGTCTCGGCCCACTCCTTCCTCCTGGCATTCAGGACGCACACAAGGACAGCAGCAGGAAGACAGAGTCACCGGGTCACAGCAGGAGAGAGGAGACGGACGGACCAGGCTTACACAGTGAGTCCATGTGGTTCTGTTAATATTCAGAGATATTTGGAGCCTTTCTGATGAAGAGTAAAGGGAATTATGGGAGTTTTCTAAAAAGATTTGAGCAATAACTATTGAAAGATAATTTAATGTCAAGTCTGGGGTTGGAAAGAGTAAGAAGAACATCTGGAGACTGTGACCGACATGCTGCAGTGAGTGGAGAGTCATTTTCTTTGGCTTTGCATGTTTTCTGATGTATGCGTCCAAGCCGCGAGTTGAAATCGAGCAGAGAGACGGAGCACAGATCAGTGAGGCTGGAGCGTGCACGGTCACAGTGGCGTCATACAACAGGGGCCTCACAGGGGCCACTGATGGCTGCAGGGCCGGTGGTCAGGTCAGTGCAGAATGAGGGGAAAAGGGGGAAGTGTGTGATATTCAGTCAAAAAATATTCATTTACAGAACGATCGGCTGTAAAATCTCTTCCCTCCGTGTTTCTTGCAAACATCTGCAACATGTAAGAAAAGTGTTAAAACGGGTTTTGGGCTCAAACGTTGACCAGTGCTTGTCTAAAATGATAAATGGGAGTTAAATGACACCATTGACTGGATGATAATAAACATACAAGGGTCCAGAAAGTGAAGCCAAAGCAGAAGTACCTAAAACCTGTATTCTCTCCAATGACCAGCAGGAGGTTTATGAGGAAATGATTTGTAACGTAAAGAGTTTATGTCTCATTATGTAGTTTCACGTCTGTGGATACTGTGTGATTGACAGCTGGTACCATCCAATGGGTGCAGGTCGCAGGTGTAGGTGGGCAGTGACCTCAAGCTCTCAGTCAGGCTCCGCCCCCTGCTCCTCCGTATATGGTTACTTCTGGTTTTAAAAAAACCAAGATGGCGCTGGAATATGAGGCTTCAAAACAGTCGCTCGCAAACCGACGGGCGTTAACTTGATGAATGTTTCCTCCCAGTTTCTGCTGAGGATCTCCTCAAACAACCAGCCCAGATGTAACTGCCCCTTTTAACCACAAACACATTAACACCAACAACGTGTCGTGAGGCGAACCAGGAATTTCAACTTCTTCTTCCACCGAGTGGCTTCTAATCTTTCAGTCTCCGCCTCGTATGAAAAAGGCCCCACCCAGTCAAGCATGAAGTGACTCTGACTCACGGGGGTTTACAGGTCAGAGGGAGGGTGGCTCAACAGCTGGTGGGGGTCACATGCCAAGATCATGCTTGGTATGTCACGGCTCTGTGGATCAAACCCCAGCACGCAGGATCCAGGTTGTTGTTGTAACGTGATTCTCGTTAATTCGGCTCCAGCAGTCAAACACATTGTGAAAACCGTTGAGCGGACAGTCGGGATCGAGAGCACGAGCAGGTTTCAGCTCCAACACGTTCTGAGCACGATGTCTCACAGGGGCGTCACTGTGGGAATCATACATGTGACATGTGTGATGAGTTGAAGAGGCAGCCACAGACCATCTGATTATTACTTATTAGTCCCTAAACAGCTTTTACTGAGCAACAGCGCCCTCTGCAGCCACATGTGGTGATTAACTCAGCTCGGCTCCGTGTCCGAGCGATGAAGTGATTTGTTGAGCTCTGACTGTGTCGTCCCACTGAACTGAACTCTGGATATTACCCATGATCCTCTGCTTCCTGAACCGGAGGAGCAGCCTCTGTAACAAATGAACCGAACTGTGTTTAGAGTCATTTTAAAATCCTGGTTGAATATTATGATATGAAATATTTTTAAGAAATGAGAATGATGATACAAAAACAAAACTTCACACGGTGCTGAAAAGTTCAGGTTGAAGTTATGAGCTTGAGTTATAGCTGGTGGGGGGTTAAAGTGGAGTTTATACATCTTCAGAACACAAGAGTAGACGTTACACATAACTCCAGTTCTGGAAACCATCAAACACAGTCGTTACAGGGGAAGAAGTTAAAGCTGCTACAAGAAACTTTACATTTGAGTTGATTTTGGCGCCTCTGTGGACAAAAGCGGTATTGTTTCCATTTTCTCCCTGAAAAAAAGGACACGGCTGTTTGCAGGATGCATCGTGACGAGGTCATGAATCATTTTGTTGCCGTGTGATTAATATGGTTATTTTCTCTGGTTGGGCTCTGACTGTCGTAAATTCCGTGATTCAGTAAATCCGACCCGACCGCAGACAATGAGAAGAGTTTATGGAAAAAGACAATTTGCGTCTCGTTTGCTGTTTTAGGTTATAAAGAGGCAACAATATTAAAATAAGACGGTTTCATAACCCGTTAAAATCTCCTTGTAGGGGCTTTAATCCAAGATGCTGTCAAACACTGAAATCCTACTTTTCAAAGGAACTGTTACGTTAACTTCCCAAACTAAATCATATATTTGTTTTTGGATCAAAGTGAAATCCAGGTCTAAAGCCCCTCCTGCATGGAAAGGTGAAGGTCTGAACAAATTAATTAATTTTAAATCAATGATTGTTGCCTCAGGACGCGCTCACACCTGCTCCGACACCCGTCCACCCACCCAGCGAGGGAGGTGATCATCATCAGTTACTATCAGAGGAGCATGTCCTTTTATTTCAGAGCCTGACTTCCTCCGGCCTTTTGGAGTTCCTCATATGAGCGCAGCAGTTAATGAGGGAAATACCCAAAGTTAAACCGAGCATGGGAGAGAAGGGGGGGGGGGGTGGCGGCTGGGGGAGGACCGGAGAGACTGGAACGTGAGAAAAAAAAGAAAGAAAAAGTATCAGGAGAAAGAAAAGAGAGAGATGACAAGAAGTGGCAGAGTGGTTTTTTCTCTTCCCTGGAGGACGGAGACTGTGCTGTGGCTGTGTGGGTCTCTGGCGTGATGATTTGAGACAGACAATAGAAATCACATTGCCAGGGATTACTACACTGCCACGGTGTCCACTTCAGGAGCTGGAGGAGCAGGACACGTTCTGTAGGTACCTGTAGTGTCCCTGTTCTTTTAAACGTTTAGAGGAGGAACTGTTCTGAGGAGATGTGTTTGAGCCGTGTGGTTTCTGATCAGGTGCAGAGCTTAGTCGACTGCTGAACAGGGAGTCTAAGCAATTTGTTCACAGTGGCTAAGTTCTTCACTTGCACAGAGATAATGAGGACGTCACATTTTAAATGATCTTATCGAACAACTCTCGTCCTGCGTGAAACTAAGTCAGAAGATTCTTTGCTCAAACTGAAGAATGTAAGAATATTGGGATTTCTCTTTTAATGGAAACTTGTGTTTATGCTCTTGTTGTCATTAAAGGAGAGGGTTGGTTATATTCTGTATTTCTTACTGTGAACAAGTAGATTCAAATTAATGACTTGATCTCACTAACAAGTATCGTCTGTATCGCCAAGATCTGATGCAGTGCATTTTATTCCTCTGACCCACACAGCTCCACTGTTCCGAAATTCTTGAAAACACATCAGTGAGTCAGACTGGTCACATGTCCCTTCATTTCCATGAACACGCACACACACACACACACACACA